CAGGTCAAGACCTGGGTAGCCATCCGTTTATTCATGGTTTTCTCCTAGACATTTATTTGTCTGGAATTCCACAGATTAGAGACTAGACAACCGTAATTATCCTATTAGCTTGAACTTTCTGGTAACTCTGTTCTTCAGAGCCCCACTAGTCCTGCCAGCTCTGGTGATGAGAATATAGTTTTAGCAGCAAGGGAAATTTACAGCAGAGAGGCAGTAGATAGATGTGTTCAGGAGTTGAGTATAAATTGAATATCACTTACATATTTTCCATTTTACAAATATACACAAGTCAAAATGCACACAATTCATCCATGTAAGCCAAGGTTTCACCATACTGGACTGGTACTTTCTACTGTGGTTTTTGATCAATTAGCCAGATCTAGGTACTTTCCTCATTTTCATGGGTTCTTTGTATAGAGTGACTGTATGTAACTTCTGATACACACAATGCTCTTCAGCCTGTCCTCTGGCTCCCATTGAATATGTTCACACCACTGTGACCTATTTCTAGGGTTGTGCTATCAGTGTTTCACTATCAGTTTATGACATTTGTCTGTCCCCTTTGTTTTCAGAATTGTTCAGAATATTGCCTGCCAGCATTTCTTTCTGTTTTCAACTTCAAGACAATATTTTTCTCATTTTCTCCTTGGCGTTAATGGCAAATGAGTGGTAACCCCCTGGTTGATTTTTGGCCTCTTCCTTTATGTGTGGTGGGAGTGTATGACACCAGGACAGGATACACAGCAGAAGAGGGTCTCAGGTGGGGGTTAGTATATTGTTAAAGAATATTTTAAGGGAAAAAAAGGCATTTACCTAAAATTAATTTCTTTCATCTCTCTCTTTCTCTCTCTCTCCCTCTGCCTCTCCTTTTCTTTTTTTATCTTTTTTTTGTTGTTGTTGGTCATGGGGCTTGAACTCTAGGCCTGGGTGCTGTCCCTCAGCTCTTCAGCTTAAGGCTAGTGCTCTACCACTTGAGCCACAGCGCCACTTCCTGTTTTCTGATGGTTTATTAGAGATAAGAGTCTTACAGATGGGGCTGGGAGGGTGGCTCAGTGGTAGAGCCCTTGCCTTGCATGCCTGAGGCCCTGGGTTCGATTCCTCAGCACCACATAAGCAAAAAGAAAAAAGCCGGAAGTGGCGCTGTGGCTCAAATGGTAGAGCGCTAGCCTTGAGCTGAAGAGCTGAGGGACAGCGCCCAGGCCCAGAGTTCAGGCCCCACGACTGGACCCCCCCCCCAAAAAAAAAAAAAAGTCTTAGACTTTCCTGCCCAGGCTGGCTTTGAACTGTGATCCTCAGATCTCAGTCTCCTGAGTAGCTAGGATTATAGGTGTGAGCCACCAGCACCTAGTTCGCTCTTTCTTTCCTTCCTTCCTTCCTTCCTTCCTTCCTTCCTTCCTTCCTTCCTTCCTTCCTTTCTCTCTTTCTCTCTTTCTTTCTTTCTTTCTTTCTTTCTATGCCAGTCCTGGGGCTTGAACTCAGAGCCTAGGTGCTATCCCTGAGCCTCTTTGTGCCCAAGGCTAGTGCTCTACCACTTGAGCCACAGCACCCTTCTGGCTTTTTCTGAGTATTTTATTGCAGTTAAGGGTCTGTGTCACTCACATTTCTGCTCAGGCTGGCTTTGAACTACGATCCTCAGATCTCAGCCTTCTGAGTAGCTAGAATTATAAGCATGAGCCAATAGCACCTGGCTAAAATTTCATATTTTCTAGAAGACTGAAATGAGGTCCAGTTTACTATATTAACCATGTTACTATACATTTATAACATCATGTTACATACCTTAAAAATATAAAAAAAATACATGAGCTGGGTGCCCATAGCTTATGCCTGTAATTCTAAACTCTTCAAGAGGCTGAGACTGAGAATTGTAGTTCGAAGCCAGCCTAGGCAGCAGTATCCATGAGATTCTTATCTCCAGTTAACCACCCAAGAGCTGGAGCTATAGGTCAAGTAGTAAAGCACTAACTGGACAGTGCCCTGGCTCTTAGTTTAAACCCCAAGATCCCCCACCCCCAACCCTGGCGCCAAAAATTAAAAACAGAAGAAGAAATGGATTCAAGGTAATTTTTTCTGATAGTCAGTTTTGGTTTTGACATTTGACTTCATATTCCTATCTAAAAAGCAGCATTCTGTAGTGTTTAATAAATAGTGTTGGGTTACACATGTGAATGAGTTATAGTGCCTTTTGTTGTTGTTGTTCAGGTTCTTTCTGTTGCATTTGTGTAGCACCCAACCACTAGAAGGAAGTGTGAATCTTTGCATGCTTATTAGTTTTATGGAAAATTATGCAAATTCACCTAGGGGTCAGAAGGGATTAAAGATCTTTTTAGAAGATAAATCTGAGCCTACCAAGACAATAGCAATGGGTATTGGGAAAACATTTCAAGCAGAGAACATCACCTGGTGGTGATAAGAAAGATTTGACACTTCTGTATTTGGCCATTGTAAAGTAGCATTAGTTTTGGTTAAAAAATTTCAGCTTATAATGATTGTGGATTCAAATTTCTAACCGTAATTTTTCCACAGAATTTCTAGCATTACTTCATTAAAAATTCTGTTAAAATCCAAAGTCTAGGAAATGGACTGTAGCTCAAAGTGGTAAAGCACTAGCCTTAAGCACAAAAGCTCACAGATAAAGCCTAGGTCCTGAGTCCAGGCTCCAGGTCCAGCACAAGAAGACAAAAAGAATCCAAAGGCTAACAAAGCATTAGTGGCTCATACTTGTAATCCTAGATATTTGGGAGGCTGAGATCAGGAAAATCACAGTTCAAGGCCAGTACACACAGGAAAGTTTAAACACCTCCTTCTCAACCACTAGCTAGACATAGTGGTTTATGCCTGTCATTCTAGCTACACGGGAAGCTGAGATTCAGATTATCAAGGTTCCAGGCCAGCCTGGCAGAAAAAGTCCTTGAGATTCCATCTCAATGGAAGAAGCCGGGCATGGTGGCACATACCTCCCATTCCAGTTACGGGGGAAGCATAAAATAGGATCACTTTCTACCCATAGGCCCTGGCAGGAAGCAAGAAATAAATAACACACAAAATGGCTAGAGGCGGGCTGGGAAAGTAGCTCAGTGGTAGAGCACTTGCCTTGCATGCATGAGGCCCTGGGTTCAATTCCTTAGCACCACATAAGCAGAAAAAGCTGGAAGTGGCGCTGTGGCTCAAGTGGTAGAGCACTAGCCTTGGACTGAAGAGCTGAAGGACAGTGCTCAGGTCCAGAGTTCAGGCCCCATGACCAACAAAAAGAAAATAGCTAGAGGCATGGCTTAGTAAACCCCAGTACCCAACAAAAACAAATCCATAAGCTACTGATCAAGGTACGCTATATGTATGGAAATTTCACAATGTAACTCCCCTACAAAACTAATACATGCTAACAGAAAAATTTTCAAAATTCTACACACTAACCAAACTATTGTCTGTGTTCCGTAGAGCTAAAGTGTTATGCCAAAAACAAGAAGTGTTATTTCTGTTTATCTTGATAGAAAATCAATTAATGTCCTTTCACCTCTATATTTCAACCTCAACTTCTGATATTATGCTTATTTTATGTGGTTAATTTTTTTTCCTTTTTTTTTTTTTTTTGTTGGTTGTGGGGCCTAAACTCTGGGCCTAGGTACTGTCCCTTAGCTCTTCAACTCAAGGCTAGTGCTCTACCACTTGAGCCACAACCATTTCTGACTTTTTCTCCTTATGTGGTGCTGAGGACTCAAACCCAGGGCTTCGTGCATGTAAGGCAAGAACTCCACCACTGAGCCACCTTCCCAGCCCAATGTGGTTAATTTCTGTGGAATGATGGAGAAGGAATTATTTTAGAGTTTTCAGTCTTTGTCAGGTATCATGTAAAAAATAGGTCACTGCTATATAAAAATTATACAGAGGAGTTTGAAATTTTTCCAGGATCATTATTACAGTGAGCAAAGTTGGCAAGGGATGGGGGGAATTCTGTAACAGTTTATTAAAATTCATGCCTGAGATTTCTCTCTGCTTAAATAAAGATCCAAATAATTGGGTTACTTAGCAATTTTCAATCCAGATAATCCCATGGTTGGATAAAGTAGGGGGACACAAGCCCTAGGAGAGAGGATCCCATTAAGTTAATGTGGATGCATATTTTATAGGTCTGAAGGGGAGGAGAGGATAGTTTTCTGTTTCAGGTTGAGCTTTGAGCTGGCCTGCCCTATCTGTATCTTTTTTCCTAACAGGAAAACTGAATCCAGGCCCACCTTGTAAAGTCTCTTGAAGGAGGGCTATTCATGTAAGGTTCTAGGATAAGTAGAATTCCACATGGCTTTGTACCACTCTTGTAGAATTTTTCTTTTTTCTTTCTTTTTTTTTGGGGGGGGTCCGGTCGTGGGGCCTGAACTCTGGGCCTGGGTGCTGTCCCTCAGGTCTTCAGCTCAAGGCTAGCACTCTACCACTTGAGCCACAGCGCCACTTCCGGCTTTTTTTCTTTTTCCTTATGTGGTGCTGAGGAGTCGAACCCAGGGCCTCAGGCATGCAAGGCAAGCGCTCTACCACTGAGCCACCTTCCCAGCCCCTTGTAGAATTTTTCTACAAGTAGCATTTTATTATAGCATCTACATTTCAGCACTCATCAGAACTCTATAAAACTGTTCCATGCACAAATGCCCACGTAATTGTACAATTTTACTTCTATTAAATGTCCAGAATTGGCAGATCCATAGAGAATGGAGATAAGTAGTTGCCAAGAGTTAGATAGTAAAGTTTGGGACTAATGAGGAGTACTTGCTAAAAGGTTTGGAATTTCTTTTGGGTGATAAAAATGTTCTGGAATTAGTACTGATTATTGTACAACTGTGAATAATCTAAAAGTTTCTGTGTGCACACTTAAAAACAATAAAAGGTGATTGTAAATATTCTTTCACTTTTGTTCTAGCAGATTACTCTGCTTTATAGTCTAAATATTGCAGTTTGGGCCTTTGACTATTGTTGCAACTTGTACTTGATTATCCTGTTCCTGACCTTCACAGGGCCACGATGGGCCTCCTGGAACATCGGTGTGTTTATCTGCATTCGATGTGCTGGAATCCACAGGAATCTGGGGGTGCACATATCCAGGGTAAAATCGGTGAACCTCGACCAGTGGACTCAAGAACAGATTCAGGTACTTACACTGAGAGCCAACTGCTCCCATATAGCCATGTAAAAGTAATTTCCAAAGAACTACAGTCAATGTGGGGATGAAGGCAACGTTCTTACACCTTAAGAGAAATTTTTATCTTTCTACTTAAAATACAAGTTGTTTCTACCTACATCTTATTTTTCCAGGTAGGAAAGTCCATGACACCCTTACCTCCAATTAACCACCAAAAAGCCAAAAGTGGAGCTGTGGTTCAAGTGTTAGAGTGCTAGCCTTGGGTAAAAAAGCTCAGAGTCATCACCCAAGATCTGAGTTCAGGCTCCAGGACCAGCTCTAAAAGCAACAACAATAAAAAACAAAAACTATAAACAACTTATGGTCTAGGACTCCATGGGTTCATTAAGGCATTAAGAGGGAACTTCCCATTTTTTTTAAGACTCTTGCTATTTACAAACCTAATATTTGTAGTTTCAGTTATAGGTAGTCACTTAAAAACAAACAAAATCCTTGTAGGCTGGTAATACAGCTCAGTAATAGAGTGTTTGTCTAGCATACATCAGATCCTGAGTTTAATCTCCAGCACTGTCAAAGAACAAAGCAAAAAAAAAAAAAACCCAAAAATTTCAAATCGCAGATATATTCCAATATTTTACTATAAAATTGCACATATGAATCTTACTTGCTGTTTAGCTGGTAGACTGGGAGAAAGGCATTTAATAAATTAATGATCTAGCTGGCCTAAATCTGTGCCTTGATGTAGCTTCATTGTACTTTATTCCCTTCCTACACTGAAACTTTTTTTTTTTGTCGGCCGTGGGGCTTGAACTCTGGGCCTGGGCGCTGTCCCTCAGCTCTTCAGCTCAAGGCAAGCACTCTACCACTTGAGCTACAGCGCCACTTCCGGTTTTCTGGTGGTTTATTGGAGATAAGAGTCTCACAGTCTCTCCTGCCCGGGCTGGCTTTGAACCGCGATCCTCAGATCTCAGCCTCCTGAGCAGCTAGGATTACAGGCGTGAGCCACCAGCGCCCAGCTCACTGAAACTCTTTAATTAAAACTCCTTGTCCCCTTTTTGGAAGGTGGAAAGGGAGGTTTCCCAAAAAAGTTGCTGAAGTTGGTGATGGAAATAATATTTATTCTCCCCTCCCTCCAAGTTGTGGCTTGAATCTGGACCTGGGCACTATTCCTGAGCTTTTCAGCTCAAGGCTAGAGATCTACCACTTTGAACTACAGCACCACTTCTGGTTTTCTGGTGGTTAATTGGAGCTAAGAGTTTCACAGACTTTCCTTCCTGGGTTGGCTTTGAACTGCAATCCTTATATCTCAGCCTCCTGATTAGTTAGGATTACAGGCAGAGTAATTCTTTATCAGAAACTGGCTCAGAAATTTGTATTTATAGATTATTAAAGTTCTAAAAAGATGAGTTGCATTTTTCAGTTACACATTACTGTATTTAATGGAGATTATATAACACGGAGGTATCTAATTTAAGGGTTTGGGAGATTCGAAGAGTTAAAAAGTTGTTGGTGGACTGGGAATGTGGCTTAGTGGTAGAGTGCTTGCCTAGCATACATGAAACCCTGGGTTCGATTTCTCAGTACCACATAAACAGAAAAAGCCAAATGTGCTGTGACTCAAGTAGTAAAGTGCTATCCTTGAACAAAAGAAGCTCAGGGACAGTGCCCCAGGATTGGCAAAAAAAGGAAGAAAAAGGGCTGGGAAGGTAGCTCAGTGGTCAAGTCCTTGCCTTGCATGCATGAGGCCCTGGGTTCGATTCCTCAGCACCACATAAGCAGAAAAAGCTGGAAGTGGCACTGTGGCTCAAGTGGTAGAGCGCTAGCCTTGAGTTGAAGAGCTGAGGGACAGCGGCCAGGCCCAGAGGTCCCACGACCGGCAAAAAAAAAAGGAAGAAAAAGTTCTTCGAGTTGGGTATGGTGGTGCGTATCTGTAATTCCAGCACTCAGGAGGCAGAGGCAGGAGGATGACACGTTTAAGACAAGACTGGATTAAGGGGTGTATTTCAAATGCCTAAAGAGAAGCATATCTTCGTTGGTAAGAGAATTGAATAGGGTAACTAATAGTAAAAATTTAGCTAGGGGCTGGTGGCTCATGCCTGTAATTCTAGCTACTGAGGAGGCTGAGATCTCAGGACCATGGTTCAAAGCCAGCCTGGGCAGGAAAGTCTGTGAGACTCTTACCTCTAATTAACCACCAGAAAAACTGGAAGTGGCTCTGTGGCTCAAGTGGTAGAGCTCTAGCCTTGAGCTGAAGAGTCAGGAACAGTGCCCAGGCCTAGTGTTCAAGCCCCACAACCGACCCCCCCCCAAAAAAAAAGTAGGCTGGGAAGGTGGCTCAGTGGTAGAGCACTTGCCTTGCATGCATGAGGCCCTGGGTTCGATACCTCAGCACCACATAAGCAAAAAGAAAAAAACCGGAAGTGGCGCTGTGGCTCAAGTGGTAGAGTGCTAGCCTTGAGCTGAAGAGCTGAGGGACAGCGCCCAGGCCCAGAGTTCAGGCCCCACAACCGGACCCCAAAAAAAAAGTAAATTTTACACTAATGCCCATTATTGCATGCCAGATACACATTTTCATTGGTAGCTATGTATCTTGGATGTTAAATGAAATGTTAAATTATTACTGAATTAAATGTACCTTGTCTGACAAATCTTTTCTTAAAAAAAAAAACTCATGAAAAGGGGAAAGTTTGCTCTTGGGGCAAATGATGGGGAATTCCTACTAGAGTAGAGAGAATCGTGCATTAGAAACCAACATGCATAAGCTCACATCTTGGTTCTGTTGCTCTAAACTGATTCTTTTTACAATGGGAGAATTGGATGAGAAGTTTTTCTTCTTCAATCTGACAGTCCATTTTTCTACATTGTCTTTGCAGTGCATGCAAGAGATGGGAAATGGAAAGGCAAACCGACTTTATGAAGCCTATCTTCCTGAGACCTTTCGACGACCTCAGATAGACCCGTATCTTTTCTGGAGCAATTTAGAAGGCTGAGTGTTATTGGATGTTTAGTGAGGGCCAATAAGACTTAGACCTGTGGTCTGCCTGGGCCACTTTATGTGGATTAGTGTAGGGCCTTTAGTTTTCCTCTCTTCTTGCAACCAAGACAGAAGAAACACCTGTATACTTGCTGATGCTGGAATTGTCTGAGATCTGGAAAACTCAGGAATTGGGACCACAGTGATTCTACTGTGAGTTTTTCCATGAAATGGGAAAATTTAGATCTCTGAAACTATTATTTGATTTAAAAAAAGTTTGCTAATTTTAAAAATTTTGCTATTTTTAAATAGGTTCTGTTGAACCCTAGCAATTAACAAAACTTTCATTCTCTTTTCTTTTTTTTAGTCATTTGTGAGGCTTGAACTCAAGGCCTGGGCACTGTCCCTGAACTTTTTTTTTTTTTTTTGGTCGGGTCAAGGGGCCTCTAGCTATTTTCTTTTTGTTGGTTGTGGGGCCTGAACTCTGGGCCTGGGCGCTGTCCCTCAGCTCTTCAGTTCAAGGCTAGTGCTCTACCACTTGAGCCACAGCTCCACTTCCAGCTTTTTCTGCTTATGTGGTGCTGAGGAATTGAACCCAGGGCCTCATGCATACAAGGCAAGCGCTCTACCACTGAGCCACCTTCCCAGCCCTATCCCTGAACTTTTTTTGCTTGTCTAGTACTCTACCACTTTGAGCCACAACACCACTTCTGGTTTTCTGGTGGTTAATTGGAGATAAGAGTCCCACAGACTTTCCCATCCAGGCTGGCTTTGAACCATTACCCCAGATCTCAGCCTCCTGAGTAGCTAGGATTACAGGTGTGAGTCCAGCTTGCTATTCACTTTTATTGCCTTTTTTATGTCTGATGTAAAAGAATTAACTGTTGTTGGGCTGAGGATGTGGTTCAAGTGGTAGAGCATTTACCCAAAGGGGGCAGGCTATCCCCTTAACAGGAGATAGAAACTAAACAGAAGCTAAACCTCATATTATTTCTCTTTTAGTTTGTGAACCATCATGTTATTTACCTTTTGGTGGGTTCAGGTAGAACCTGGAAAATACAGGTATAGGGTTCCACAGAAGAGCTACTGGTTAGAATGTGGCAATGGGAGAGAAGTGTTTATGTTTTTAAAAATTACTTTTTATTATCTTTTAAGTAGTTGTACAGTGTTTATGTTTTGGATGAGTACTTAGGTTGTCTTGGTTTGAGGACCACTGAGCTAAGGGATTTAAAACAGATCATTGGGGCTGGGAAGGTGGCTCAGTGGTAGAGTGCTTGCCCTGCATGCCTGAGGCGCTGGGTTCGATTCCTCAGCACCACATAAGCAAAAAGAAAAAAGCCGGAAGTGGTGCTGTGGCTCAAGTGGTAGAGCGCTAGCCTTGAGCTGAAGAGCTGAGGGACAGCGCCCAGGCCCAGAGTTCAGGCCCCATGACCGGACCCAAAAAAAAAAAACCAGATCATTGTCTGCTTTCCCTATATTCTAGAATGGCCACAAACACCTCTGATGTCAGTTTGAAGGTTGTCATCACTCAGGAAATAATGATTCCTTGTGGTAACCTTGAGGGAAACATTTCAAGATTTTCACTAAATAAACTGTACATGAAGAGACAGGAGTCACGTAGGGAAGAAGAGCAGTGTTCCATGGGCTACAAGTTGACCTTGTATATTCTTACTGTTGAGAGTTATTTGGTTAATCCTTAATAAGCTTTTTTTGCAGAGCTGTTGAGGGGTTTATTCGAGATAAATATGAGAAGAAGAAATACATGGACCGAAGTCTGGACATCAATGCCTTTAGGGTTAGTTGTAAATCTTTCAAATCTTTTTTTTTTTTTCTTTTTGGTTGGATTTGAATTTAGGGCCTAGGTGCTGTCCCTGAGCTTTTTTTTTTTTTTTAGCTCAAGGCTAGCACTCTACCACTTTGAGCTACAGCTCTATTTCTGGTTTTCTGATAATTAATTGGAGATAAGAAGCTAAGATTACAGGCTTGAGCTATTACCTTCACCAAGCTAATCTTTCAAATGTTATTCATAATAAATAATTTGCTTAGTAATCAAATTAGGGTAGAATTTGAAGAGCTTGTAATACTAGCTACTCAGGAGGCTGAGATCTGAGAATTGCTGTTCAAATCCAGCCTGGGCAGAAAAGTCCTCAAAGACTCTTATCTCCAGTTAACCACTCAAAAACTGGAATGGTGCTGTGGTTCAAAGTGGTAGAGCACTAGCCTTGAGCAAAATTGCCCAGGCCCTGAATTCAAGCCCCATGGCTGACCAAAAAAAAAAAAAATAGAGTATCAGTGGAGTATTAAAATACTCTGAACCAGGGCTGGGAAGGTGGCTCAGTGGTAGAGTGCTTGCCTTGCATGCATGAAGCCCTGGGTTTGATTCCTCAGCACCACATAAGCAGAAAAAGCCGGAAGTGTCACTCTGGCTCGAGTGGTAGAGTGCTAGCCTTGAGCTGAAGAGCTGAGGGACAGCACCCAGACCCAGAGCTCAGGCCCATGACCGGCAAAAAAACAAAACAAAACAAAAAACACACACACAAAATACTCTGAACCACAACTTAATACATGCAAAAGTAGAGAAAAGCCACTTACTGAGTCAATACCATACAATACCCAAGGACAAACTTTTACCTTAGGGATAGGCGAAGCAAACCACAAGTGAATTCTTTGCCTTGTTCTATATATAAGATATTAGTGATTCCCAGTTCCAAAGCGATCCCTCCCTCTCTCCCTCCCTCCCTTTTTCCCTCCCTCCCCCCCCCTCTCTCTCTCCCTCCGTCTTTCCCTTCCTCCTTCCCTCCCTCCTTCCTTCCTTTCCTCCTTCTTTTCTTCCCTCCTTTCCTCCTTCCCTCCCTTTTCATCTTTCCTTTCTCCCCTCCCCTCCCCTCCTTCCCTCCCTGCTTCCTTCCTGAGCTTGTACCAGTACCAGAGCTTGTGCTCAGGGCCTTGAGCTTTTCATTCAGCTTTTTGTTGTTGATGTTGGTCATAGGGCTTGAACTCTGGGCCTGGGCACTGTCCCTCAGCTCTTCAGCTCAAGGCAAACACTCTACCACTTGAGCCACAGTGCCACTTCCCATTTTCTGGTGGTTAATTTGAAATAAGAGTATCAAGGACTTGGGGCTGGGAAGGTGGCTCAGTGGTAGAGTGCTTGCCTTGCATGCCTGAGGCCCTGGGTTCGATTCCTCAGCATCACATAAGCAAAAAGAAAAAAGCCGGAAGTGGCGCTGTGGCTCAAGTGGTAGAGTGCTAGCCTTGGGGTGAAGAGCTGAGGGACAGCGCCTAGGCCCAGAGTTCAGGCCCCACCACTGGACCAAAAAAAAAAAAAGTATCAAGGACTTGCCTGCTGGGGCTGGCTTTGAATGGTGATCCTGAGATCTCAGCCTCTTGAGTAGCTAGGATTACAGGCCTGAGCTATTAGCACCTGGTGTTGCTCAGCTGTTTTTGTGTGTGTATGCTGGTCCTGGGGCTTGAACTCAGCCTGGGCACTGTTCCTGTGCTTTTATGCTCAAGGCTAGCACTCACTTGAGTTGTAGTTCCACTTTCAGCTTTTTAGTGTTTGGAGAAAAGAGTCTCATAGACTTCCTAGACTCACAGACTTCCAGCCTAGGCTGGTTTTGGAAATGTAATCCTCAGATCTCAACCTCCTGAGTAGTTAAGATTATAAGTTTGAGCCACCAGTGCCTGGCATGCTCAGCTTTTTAAAAAAAAAAATCGTGGCTGGCACTTCCACAGCTCCACTTCCAGCTTTTTGATGATTAATTGGAGACAGTCTGGTGAACTTTCCTGCTGAGACTGGCTTTGAATCTTGGTCCTCTACATCTCAGCCTCCTGAGTGTAAGATCCACCCTGGGAAGGCAGAGCAGATTCTTCCCTCCTCTTGGTTAAGTTTCTACCCAGTATCTACGTCACCTAGATAACTGGTATACTTGGAGGCAGTCATTGCCCCCCACCCCCCTGCCTGAGGTCACATCCACATCTGGTGTGGAGATACCTTCTTCCACCCCTGGTCTTGATAAGTCATGGTCTGGCTGTGTTTTAACCCTCTTTTTATTCCTGCTTTATGGGCTTCCAACTTGACCAGAAGAAACCTACAAATAAACCTTTCCCTTGCCTGAATACCACATGCTGCTTTTTTCCTCAGCTGCCAATTTAATTTACCTAGCACTGATATCAAGGATTATAGATGTGAGTCACTGGTTCCCAGCCCATCTCCAAATTCTTGTAAGGAATATGTTGGGCATAGTAGGCCAAGTAGAGTAATGTGTGTGTGTGTGTGTGTGTGTGTGTGTCAGTATATATGTGCATGTACACCATACAAACACACACACACACACACAAACACACAAAATGAAGTCAACAGAAGCAAGAGTAATTAAATTATCAGTTGCCTTCAGTTTCACCAATGTGTACTTCCCTATCAGTTTGTCAGTCTCCCTTTGAAATGGTTATTAGTCTTTCTTGCTCCTGAGAGGAATGTCAAAGGGAGACTACCATTTTCCAAGTCTGAAATAGTATTATCTTACCCAGGGTAAGTACAACATGCAGGCAAAAATGTAACATGGCTTCTGAAAGAAGAAAATAGGCCCCATTATTGATGACTAAGGAAGAAGCGATAAATGTAATTAGGAATGAGGTCCTTTTTTTCTGCCAAGGGCCATGTGGATATTATAACATCATTCTCAGGCTGTAAGAGGTCTCAACAGAGGCAGCAGGTAGCAGATAGGTCATCAGAAACTGACATCTACCAAATGCCAAATGATTTCAAAGGTCTTATTCAGCCTATAGGCTGGATATTCCCTACCCTTGGTAGACCTTTAAACAGCCTTTGACAAGATCCTATTCTGTAGTCACAGAAGTATAGGGAGTAGGAAATTCTCCAGTCCTAGCACAGGTATCCATCCATCCATTCATCCATTCTCTATTCTAATTACTTACTTTAATAGATGATATTAAATCACCAAGTTCACATGGAGCTCTCTAAGCCTTCACAGGTAATTAAAAGTTAAGCTACTTGGAATCAGTTCCAGATTGATCTTTGGAAGTTGTGTAAAAGTGGCATTAACTAGTAGTGTATTTCAACACACAGGCAAGTAAATATAACTATTGTATATATTTAGGGAAAAATAATGGCCTCTTAACTTAGTGTGTAGGATTCTTACTTCACAGTCATCCAGAAAAAAAGACTTGTCAATTATAGTAACTGCCCCTATAAAGTATTAACCTATTTGTATAGCTATAGTATGGATGGCTTCATCAAAAAGGGTTTAGAACTGAAGAACACATTTCCTTTTATTTATAGAAAACAATGGTCTGTACTATACTCTGTTCTTTGTGACTGAAATATAAAATCTGATGAGGTCAGAAAAGGTAATCTAGAAGGTAGGAGTAGGGGAGGCTTGCTGTGTATTCATAGTTATGTTGCTGGAGTACTGAGCCCCAGTAAATAAGCTTTTTAAACTCATTAGAAGTTTTATCTTGAGAAGGAAAATCTCCTTTCCCAAAAAACAATTTTAAATTTTTTGATTTGCTATGCTGAGATTTTCTTCTAAATTTCTATGAAAATTTTTTTCTATGAAAAAATTTTTAAGCCAAGAATTAGTATTTGCTAAAGAAAACATTCATTTTAAAGAAAAAGAAACTGACTTTTTATAAAAGAGTTGCTTATTTACTTCATTTTAAATTTATTTTTATTTATTTATTTTTGTCAGCTGTAGGTTTTGAATTCAGGGCCTGGGCACTGTCTGAGTTAGCATTCTACTACTTTGAGCCACAGAGCCACTCCAGTTCCGGTGGTTAATTGGAGGTAAAACTCTCATGGACTTTCTTGCCTGGACTGGCTTCAAACTGTGGTCCTCAGATCTCAGCCTCCTGAGTAGCTAGGGTCATAGGCCTGAGCCACTGACTCCTAGAATCCTTTTTTTAAAATTGTTGTTGTTAGAATTAATCTTTAAATTAAGGTTTGTTTTCTGACTTTCAAAAAAAAGGTGATGAATATTGAGAGGGCTTGTGATTAAATTTATACAGTGAATAAGCCGAATACGAGCTTACTTAATAAAATACCAAGATAAGGGTGAAAGTGTAAGCCAGTTAAACTGGGCTTATAAACAGACAGCACACCTTTAAGCCTTGTACACTGCCTATATTGGAAACTTCAAGAGTCATGAATGGGTTCCTAGGGGACAGTGCTAAGGATGTGTGAGGGTGTTCATCATATACCATTTTCTAATGTAGAAGTGGTCAGCTCCCATTCCCCCCCACCAAGACACGCTCCCCGGTTTGTCATACTCCTGCACCTGTAGAGACGTTAGTGTCCTTTTTGGATGCCTGGAATTGTAACTCATTGAACTAGTAACATGAGGCCTCTGATATACTAATCATAGTAATGCTAAGACCTTCATTGTCTTATTAAATCATTTTAGAAAGAGAAAGATGACAAGTGGAAAAGAGGGACTGAAGCAGCTCCAGAGAAAAAAATGGAACCTGTTGTTTTTGAGAAAGTGAAAATGGTAAGTGGGAATGTGCATGCCTTGTGGATAGATGGTTTGGGGAGTTTACTTGTGAGAACAAGGGCCAAAGGCTTGATGGCTAATTGATGATACATATTGGATCGCTGTACCTGATAAAAGGGTCCTATGTGCAGATTAAGTTGCCTGCTGCCATTTCTGCTTCCCCATTGCCTGTTGCAGCTTGGTGTGTTTTCTACCACTTCTCTTTGGGGCTTGGGACTGCATCTGTTCTGTCTGTGCATCCATGTCAGAATACCCCGGCTATGTGACACTTTCTGAACAGATTCTACTTCTACATTAGTACTTCCCTTGCTAGACTTTTTTTTTTTTTGTCCTGAAATTAGGGCCTGGGGCACTGTCCCTGAGCTACTTTTGCTCAAGGCTAGAGCTCTACCACTTGCCACAGTGCCTCTTCCAGCTTTTTCTGTTTATGTGGTACAGAGGAATTAAGCCTGGGCTTCATGCATATTAGGCAAGTGCTCTGCCACTAAGCCACATTCCCAGTCCTTGCTAGACCTTCTGTGCCTCACTTTCCTTCTGCAGTTAAGAGCAGTCAGAAGTCAGGCCACACTGACTTCTTTTTCCCAGGACATCCTGTTAATCTATTAGTAAAAACTTAGTAAGAACTTAAGAGGGCTGGGAAGGTGGCTCAATGGTAGAGCGCTTGCCTTTCATGCATGAGGCCCTGGGTTTGATTCCTCAGCACCACATAAGCAAAAAGAGAAAAGCCGGAAGTGGCACTGTGGCTTAAGTGGTAGAGCGCTAGCCTTGAGCTGAAGAGCTGAGGGACAGCGCCCAGGCCCAGAGTTCAGGCCCCACGACCGGACCCCCCCCTAAAAAAAAAGAACTTAGAATCTTGGGAGAGGACTATTTTTAACTATTGCTTAAGAGTTTTGTTGTCGTTGTTTTTTAATCATCACTGTGAAATGTGTTGTCTTTAGACAAAGTTGTTAGGAATAGTGGAAAAATAAATTGGCAATCTTTAGTTTGTTTTATGTGTCAGTACTGAACTCAGGCCTTGTACATTCACTTGGCTTTTTCTGTTCAAAGCTGGCACTCTACCATTTAAGCTTCACCTCCACTTTTTTCTTTTTTCTTTTGGCTGGTTAACTGGAGATAAGAACCTCAGATTTGGCTTCCCTGGCTGGCTTTCAAGTCCAGTCCTCAAATCTCAGCCTCCCAAGTAGCTACAATTACAGATGTTAGCCACCAAAAGGTTGCGGGAAGATGGGTACCTGTGGCTCATGCTTGTAATCCTAGCTACTCAGGAGGCTGAGATCTGAGGATGGTGGTTCAAAGCCAGTCAGGAAAGTCCATGAGACTCTTATCTCCAATTAACCACCAGAAAACCTGAAGTGGCACTGTGGCTCAAGTGGTAGAGGGGCAGTGCCCAGGCCCAGAGAGTTCAAGCCCCATGACTGACCAAAAAAAAAAAGTTGTTGGAAATGTATTGGCTCTTGACTCTTATATAATTAGATACCTGTTTTTATCCTTGATTTTCCCGTGACCAAAAATTGCTGTTTCTGGGACTGGGAAGGTGGCTCAGTGGTAGAGTGCTTGCCTTACATGCATGAGGCCCTGGGTTTGATTCTTCAGCACCACATAGCAGAAAAAGCTGGAAGTGGTGCTTTGGCTCAAGTGGTAGAGTGCTGGCCTTGAGCTGAAGAGCTAAGGAACAGCACCCAGGCCCAGAGTTCAGGCCCCATGACCAACCCTCCCCCTCCCCCCCAAAAAAATGCTGCTTCTGTTGGATCCCCTCTTAAGTGGTTGTTCTTGTTTCAGGAAGAGCAGATACCTCTTGTCCAAAAGGCTAACCAAATACAGACAATACTTTTGTTTCTCACTGCTGCTCTAGTTTAAGCACTCATAATTGCTGGCACTTCCTGAGTCTTGTTTTTTTGGTAACTGTCTTTGAATAACACCAGTCACAAGAATACCTGTGGCTTTACAGTAGAAAGTGGGAGTGGGGGGGGGGAAACAGCTAGAAACATCTGCTTGATTTTTTTATATAATGTATTTTTACCTTAGCCACAGAAAAAAGAAGATCCACAGCTACCTCGGAAAAGTTCCCCCAAATCCACAGCACCTGTCATGGATTTGTTGGGTCTTGGTAAGAATTAGGCTTTTCAACTTTCATTAACTTATACATTTGATGACTACTCAGTGACCTGGGAGGGTTGATAGAGATGGGATTCCAGTGTATGTTAAGAGCATGGCCTTTGGAGCCAGAACCCCCATGTACTATCTCTGAGACCTTGTGTGGTTTACTTAACATCTCTATATTTTCCTAACTGTGCAGTGAGGATGATAAAAGGCTTCACTTTGAAGGTGTTGTTCAAAAGATTAAGTGATGTAATGCCTCTAAAAATCCTAGGCCTGTTGGGAGCCAGTTGCTCATGCTGTAATCATAGCTTTTCAGAAGGCTGAGATCTGAGGATCGCAGTTCAAAGCCAGCCTGGGCAGAAAAGTCCCTGTGAGATTCTTAGCTCCAATTAACCATTCAAAACCTGGAAGTGGCACTGTGGCTCCAAGTGGTAGACTGTTAACCTTGAACAAAAGAGCTCAGGGACAGCTCCCAGGCTCTAAGTTCAAGCCCAATAACTGACAAAAAAAAAAAAAAAACAAATAAAAAATCCTAATCCTGTGCCTGGCTCACTGAGCACTCAATAAAAATTAGCATTTTCACTAGAAAGCACATTTGAGCCTTTTGCCACTTCCTTGTGCTCTACTTTTCTGCCCTTATCCCTTAATTTTCCATGTATGATCAGTTCTGAAATGACCTTGTGTTCATTTTCCCTTTGAAGTCTTGATTTTGCTATTTGCAGGAAGCAAACCTGTTTTCTACCCCTGTCAGCTCTGGTGGCTGCACTTTAGTTCTCTGTTGCTGGTTTAGGTTATTGGCTGCTTAAATGTATTTTATTTATTTATTTACTTCATTTTTATTGTGAAAATACTGTACAGAGGGGTTACAATTACATGGGCAAGATAATGAGTACATTTCTTATCAAGCATTGTAGCCTCCTCCTTTGTTTCCCCTTCCCTTAAATGTAATTTTTTTTGTATCATTCATTATTCTCTGAAAATGAATTCTAAATACCTTAGCCATCAAATAGCAAGAAGGGAGCCATCTTGGCCCCAGCTGTGGTGCTAACATAGCCTTCAGGTTTGGGTTTCTTCTGCCCTATGCCTGCCAGCAAGGCTATCAGTACCCCAGAACTCTTTTGGGAATGTGGGGTAAGGCCTCTTTTGAGAAGTTCCATTCAAGCTATGTGAGTCCATAAGAGTAGATTTCCAGGCCTCTGTTGTTTAGAATAGAAGAATAGTGTGGTCTTACTAAGCAGTGCTACGTTTTAACTTGATCTCTCTTTCTAGATGCTCCTGTGGCCTGCTCCATTACAAATAGTAAGACCAGCAATAACCTAGAGAAGGATTTAGATCTTTTGGCCTCTGTTTCATCCCCTTCTTCAGTTTCCAGAAAGGTGAGTCTTTTGTGCTTTTTAGGATGAAAGAACATTCTGGAAAGGATGATCACTTAATCATAGAACTGAGTCATGCTTTTTGGTGGAAGTGGACTTGGATTTCCTTGATTCCTCCCTTAATGTTGTGTCATCTCTGTCACAGCTTACAGTTAATTACTTTATACCATTTTGTCTCCTGTCCCCAAAGTGTGGCTCCTTGAATGGGCTTGAATGGGAAGTTATCATATTATAAAGGCTTATAATTTGGGTCAGTTTTTCAGTGTGAGCTCCTGCCAAGGTACTGAGGACATGAAAGACTTGAACTATCATGATTATCACGAGTGTGATGCCTGCAGCGTGGCAGGAGCAGCGCGAGGTGTCTCTTGTGTAGCGTTTTGTATATTTTGCTAATAATTTCAAATCTTCAGAACCCCACAAAGTAGATATATTTAGATGAGGAAACATTATTTCAGAAAAGTTATGGGACTACCCTGTGGTCATACAACTGGTAAATGGCCTTACTGGGATCTAAACTCAGTTCTCTGTACTTTATCACTTATAGACAGTTTTTTTTTTCCCTACCAAATCATATCATTTTGCAGAAGAAGGTAGAATTATACCAGAGCTTAGCTATCACATTTTTTTTTTTTGTTGGTCGTGGGGCTTGAACTCTGGGCCTGGGCGCTGTCCCTCAGTTCTTCAGCTCAAGGCAAGCACTCTACCACTTGAGCTACAGCGCCACTTCCGGTTGTCTGGTGGATTATTGGAGATAGGAGTCTCACAGTCTCTCCTGCCCAGGCTGACTTTGAACCTCGATCCTCAGATCTCAGCCTCCTGAGTAGCTAGGATTACAGGCGTGAGCCACCAGCGCCCGGCTAGCTATCACATTTTTGAATATATAATGACAACTTGTCAGATACTATCTTTACGTGAGCTGCTGGTTCTTATTGGAAAGGTGAGGGTCATCACAGAGACCTCCCCCCTATCCCCCCAAGTAAGGACCATTCTGATTCTCCCCTTGCCCTCTGCCCTAAGGTTGTAGGTTCCATGCCGACTGCAGGGAGCGCTGGCTCTGTTCCTGAGAACCTGAACCTGTTTCCAGAGCCAGGGAGCAAATCCGAAGAAATAGGCAAGAAACAGCTGTCTAAGGACTCCATCCTTTCACTCTATGGATCCCAGACGCCTCAGATACCTGCCCAAGGTAGAGTCCATAGTCATGAGGGTGTGCCAGGGACACACATGAAGACATGCGTGCAGGTATTACTTGCTGTGACAAGGTACAGGTCTCTAGGAGCTGGGACATTATACAGCAAACAAGCCTGTACATGACATTATTGGTGGAAGTTAAAGCACTAGAAGATAGATATTAATGTAACTCAGGGCCATATATCTGTGGTCTGGCATCACACCTCTATGAAGTGAGATTTGAAATCTGAATATGGCCCCTGAAACAAATAGTGGTGGCTTCACAGGTAAACCATAGCAAGTTTTTTTAGAGAATCTGTCTAAATGCTTTGCTGTGTAAAACAGTATTCTGAGTTGAGTAGTCTTAAAAATGTCTAACTAGGCCTGGGAAGGTGGCTCAGTGGTAGAGCGCTTGCCTTGCATGCCTGAGGCCCTGGGTTCGATTCCTCAGCACCACATAAGCAAAAAGAGAAAAGCTGGAAGTGGCGCTGTGGCTCAAAGTGGTAGAGCGCTAGCCTTGAGCTGAAGAGCTGAGGGACAGCGTTCAGGCCCCATGACCGGACCCCCCCCCCCAAAAAAAAGAAAATGTCTAACTAGAAAGGGGAGTGGTCAGTGAGTCTAGGCTAACATTGTATCCTCTCCTGGCAGCAATGTTCATGGCTCCTGCTCAGATGGCATATCCCACCGCCTACCCCAGCTTCCCTGGGGTTACACCACCTAACAGCATCATGGGAAGCATGATGCCCCCGCCAGTGGGCATGGTAGCTCAGCCAGGAGCTTCTGGAATGGTTGCCCCCATGGCCATGCCTGGGGGCTATATGGGCGGCATGCAGGCATCAATGATGGGTGTGCCCAATGGGATGATGACTACCCAGCAGGCTGGCTACATGGCAGGCATGGCAGCCATGCCCCAGACGATGTATGGGGTTCAGCCAGCTCAGCAGCTGCAATGGAACCTTACTCAGGTAAGTTACCCCATTTTACCTGCCACACAACTTCTGAGCCTTCATTAGAAACCTATCTTGTGCCACTGCTTTACTCCTTGAACCCTTTCCATATAGATGAAAGAATGCCAGAGACATTTCTAGGTTTGCCTTTTTTCTAGAAGGCCTGTCTAAAAGCAGATACTGAAGAATTCTGAGTTCTAAAAAAAAAGAGTAACTGCCTAAATCTAAACCTTTTCCCCAAAGTCAGCTTTTAGAAGAAGTGTTTCCCTAGCTTGTCTGTTTCATTAAGATTATAAAATTTCTTTATTAAAAAACAGCCCATACACAAATCTCTTGTTTTCCCTTCCTGCCTTTGTTCATTTGGAACAGCCCTGTTTCTTATTTTTTCCCACTGCAATCAGTCCATCAGTCAAGCAAGCAAACATGCCCACATGCAGATGCTCTCTGCTGTAGCTAAGGCAGATGCTCAGGAGCTGCACTTGGCCTTGCACTCTAAGGACTGGCAGGGGTGAAGAGCTGCTGAATTTCTGCTCACTACAGCCAGGATTCCTTCTTTCTTTCCCTGACATTAGTCTCTGGCAACATTGGCCTCCTAAAGAGTCCTTCATGTACATGTCTCATGGCTTTGAATAGATGCCAGGGCATGTATGTGCCCTGTGTCTCCCTTTGTCTCATCCTCCCTTCTCTGCAGACTGAAAGACTGCTGCGATGTTTTGGGCACTGATTGGCTGAATGCTCTGAAAGTCTCTTCATTCCCTTTCAGATGACCCAGCAGATGGCCGGGATGAACTTCTATGGAGCGAATGGCATGATGAACTATGGACAGTCAATGAATGGTGGAAACGGACAGGCAGCAAATCAGACTCTCAGTCCTCAGATGTGGAAATAAAAGCAAAACACCTGTACGGCTGGCATTCTCCTCAGCTCGCTCTGCTCCTTTCTCTTCCTCTCCTCTCCCATCCCCTTTCCTGCCTCTCGCTCTTTGGTTTAGAAATCGCTCAATAAGTCATCTGGGGGTTTAGCATCCTGCCCAACCCAGCCACTTCCCAAACACGATGACCTCTCTCTTGCTTTGTGTGTTCATGTCTCTGGCTGTCCCCATATCTTCCCTAGCCACAGCTCCTGCCCTCTTCTGGCACCAGCACCTTAGAAATGGTCAGCAGAAGGCACTTAACTGCAGGGAAAATGTGTGCACCTTTCAATTCCTTTCCTCAAGATTGTGCCCCCATGAGACCCTCAGAAAGGTTTGTGGGTGTTGTGTGTGAGGCAGAGGGAGGGTGTGGAGGTCCTTCTGCTGTTTCTTAGTGCTGGAAGTTTTGGTTGAAGAGGGAGGCATCATGTTGCCAAGCTTGAGAATGAAGACAGTACTGCAATCACATACTCCTTGGGCCTTGGATCAGGTTGACCCTAGCCCTGGGGTGAGGCAAGCCCCTTCCTGTGAGGATGAGCAAAAATCTGATTCCACTTCACCCTGAATGCTTCCTGGATCTGGGGCTTCAGGACACTCTGCTTCCATCAGCCTTTATTAGCACCAAAGACTTCATGAAGGCCACCCCCAGACCCACAGCCCTTGCTCACCCCCACCTGCCTTCAGGATCCAGCTCATGGCTGGAGGACCAACCCCTATGGGAATGCAGCACCTAACATATGCATTTTGTGTGTGTGTGTGTGTGTGTGTGTGTGTGTGTGTCCATCCATACATCTACTACCTACGCTTTCCCCATCTTCTCTTCAATATTTTTTATTTTGTTTTAGGTTTACACCAGAGAGGAGTTAATTTATCAACAACTTGAAACTGTTGCAAGTTTTTCTTACAGTTTTCAAAAAAATGCCATCTCGTTGATCGTTCCCTTTCTCCTTTCCCTTCCCCTGTCCTGCAGTCAGTTTCATGCCTGCATATCCAGGTGTCCTGTGTATGAGACAGAGAACCTGGACAGCTATCTTCTCAGCCATTGTTTACCCCACTTGAAAATTTAAACAAGACAACTTTGCTTAAAAGATTTCACATGTGGGAACCACAATGCCTGGTTGCCTTTCTCCTGTGTATGTGTAAATTCCTTAATAAACATTGCAGGGAAGGACTTTGCTTGGTTGTTACGGTGTGTCACTCTTGCAGGAGGGGAATGGGCATACATGTTCCTGCCTCGTTTCTGTTTTTAAGATCCTGTTCTTAGTGCACTAAAGCCAGACTTAGGCTCCAGCAGTCAGAAAGGGTCCAGAGATATAAGTTGAGTGAAACAGAGATCTGTACCTATAAAGGTCTCAGAACATCAGAACCAAGAGCATCTTTTCCCTACAGATGGAGACCCAGAGAAGAAAGCAGTTAGCTAGATGTTTACTTCCTTTGCAGGAGCTGCAGTAAATTCCCAGAGTCTAGACTTCCAGCCTCTTGTTCTCTCCCTATATCTGGGTGCTTAAAATGAGAATTTAAACTTCTCCACAATAAGGGAGCAGTAGCTTTGTCTAGTAAAAATGATCCATCCCTTCTAAGGGTCAAAAGAAGTAGGAACTGAACTCCGGAACCAGTCACAGGAATTAGAGACAGAACATTCATCCAGGGGTGGGGGAGGTTATAATATAAAGGAAAAATGGACTGTAGTCATTTTCTTCCTCTGAACCCTCCCTCTACTTCCCCCTTTCACTGTTTTCCTTCAAGTACCAACTTTTTTTTTTTTTTTTTGCCAGTCCTGGGGCTTTAACTTGGTCTGGGCACTGTCAAGGCGCTAGTTCTCTACCACTTGAGCCACAGCACCACTTCCAGCTCTTTTTGTTTATGTGGTACTAAGGAATCGAACCCGGGGCTTCATGCATGCTAGGCAAGCACTCTACCCTCAAGTACCAACTTTTGACTGCTACAGAGGTAAGAAGGAGGACAGCACAGGGACCAAGAAAGTGGACTGTAGATCAGACTGCCAGGATTCATATCCCTTCTTTGGGCTCCCCAAAGTCTCTGTGTAAAATGGAGTAAATAGGACTGGGTGCCATGGTAGTGGCGCTAAGGGACCATGGAGTGATAGCAGCACATTTATGACATAAGGTATATGAGAGCTGCAAGGTATTCCTTAGGAAGGCCAAATTAGCTTGAAAAATAGATTACATGACCTAATAATGTCCATATACTAATGGCGCTGAAAAGTCCTGTGGGAAGATAACTCTTGATTTTCTAGCATTTACTAACACTGTGAAATCCAACTTTTCTGGCATATCTAATATCCATGGAATACCATTTGGAAAAGCAACCAGAAAAATAGAAGATACAGTTGTGAGGTCTGAATAATGGGGAGAAGAATGATGGAGGTAGAGAAAGGGATCAAAGAAATCTGAATTTCTAGGTAATGTGAAATGTTTTGTTGAACTCTGACCCTCATTCACTCAGCATTTTTGCTCAAGGCTGGCACTCTTATCACTTGAGCCATGCCTCCACTTCTGTCTGGCTAACTGGAGATAGAGTTTCAGATTTATTTGCCTATGTTGGCTTTGAAATTGATTCTCAGATCTCAGCCTCCTGAGTAGCTAAGATTGTAGGTGTGAGACCCTGATAGCTGTGAAAGCAGTGTTCTGGATGACCAGCTTGAAATTGGATTTAAGAGTTTGAGCCCGGTGCTGGTGGCTCACGCCTGTAATCCTAGCTATTCAGGAGGCTGAGATCTAAGGATCGTGGTTCAAAGCCAGCCCGGGCAGGAAAGTCCTTGAGACTCTTATCTCCAATAAACTACTAGAAAACCAGAAGTGGCACTGTGGCTCAAGTGGTAGAGCGCTCACCTTGAGCTGAAGAGCGCAGGGACAGCGCCCAAGCCCAGAGTTCAAGCCCCACGACCTACCAAAAAAAAAAAAAAGTTTGAGGTTCAGGGAAGAGGTTATAAGCTGAGGCATGGCTCAAGCGGTAGAGCACTAGCCAGAACAAGGAGGAGATCAGACTGGAGAAATTACAGCTAGCCTCTTGGAGGTATAATTTGTTACCATGGTACCGGGGAGGAAGAGATTGTAAAGGGTGTATTTTTTTTTAGTCTGGTCGTGGGGCCTGAACTCTGGGCCTGGGTGCTGTCCCTCAGTTCTTCAGCTCAAGGCTAGTGCTCTACCACTTGAGCCACAGCGCCACTTCCGGCTTTTTTCTTTCTTGCTTATGTGGGGCTGAGGAATCGAACCCAGGGCCTCAGGCATGCAAGGCAAGCACTCTACCACTGAGTCACCTTCCCAGCCCATGTAAAGGGTGTATTTTGCTAGGCACTGGTGGCTCACATCTGTAACACTAGCTAGCTACTTACAAGGCTGAAATCTGAAAAATCATTGAAGCCAGCCTGGCCAGAAATGTCCATGAAATTTTATCTCCAAAATAACCCATCAAAAGCTAGGCTGGAAGCATGGCTCAAATGGTATAGTGCCAGCTGTGAGCAAGAAAGCCATTCAAGGAAGAGCACAAGGGCCTGAATTCAAATCCTGGTACCTGCAAAAGGAAAACTGCATGAATTCCAAATCTGGACTATGAAAATGTAAGAAAAATCATCAACTGTCTGTTTCCCCCTAAGAAAAAGATAAAAAAAATTTGAAGTAACATTTTTGAAATACATACATACACACACACACATATATGTGGTATAGATAATATAAATGAAATAAATACTTAAAATAGTAAGACTGTCAAATTGGACTTCTTTTTGGGGGGAGGGGTCTGGTCGTGGGGCCTGAACTCTGGGCCTGGGCGCTGTCCCTCAGCTCTTCAGCTCAAGGCTAGTGCTCTACCACTTGAGCCACAGCGCCACTTCCAGCTTTTTTCTTTTTGCTTGTGTGGTGCTGAGGAATCAAACCCAGGACCTCATGCATGCAAGGCAAGCACTCTACCACTGAGTCACCTTCCCAGCCCATGTAAAGGGTGTATTTTGCTAGGCACTGGTGGCTCACATCTGTAACACTAGCTAGCTACTTACAAGGCTGAAATCTGAAAAATCATTGAAGCCAGCCTGGCCAGAAATGTCCATGAAATTTTATCTCCAAAATAACCCATCAAAAGCTAGGCTGGAAGCATGGCTCAAATGGTATAGTGCCAGCTGTGAGCAAGAAAGCCATTCAAGGAAGAGCACAAGGGCCTGAATTCAAATCCTGGTACCTGCAAAAGGAAAACTGCATGAATTCCAAATCTGGACTATGAAAATGTAAGAAAAATCATCAACTGTCTGTTTCCCCCTAAGAAAAAGATAAAAAAAATTTGAAGTAACATTTTTGAAATACATACATACACACACACACATATATGTGGTATAGATAATATAATGAAATAAATACTTAAAATAGTAAGACTGTCAAATTGGACTTCTTTTTGGGGGGAGGGGTCTGGTCGTGGGGCCTGACTCTGGGCCTGGGCGCTGTCCCTCAGCTCTTCAGCTCAAGGCTAGTGCTCTACCACTTGAGCCACAGCGCCACTTCCAGCTTTTTTCTTTTTGCTTGTGTGGTGCTGAGGAATCAAACCCAGGACCTCATGCATGCAAGGCAAGCACTCTACCACTGAGCCACCTTCCCAGCCCCATCAAATTGGACTTTTAAAGTCTATTCCTCTGGCATCTGAAATCTTCCTTCTAAGATCACTTTCCTTCACCTGAAGTCCCATTTGTTCCCTGAAAATTCTTTTAGCAAAGGTTTCTGTGTCTTGCCTGAACATAAGAGAAAATGTTCAGGGCTGGGAAGGTGGCTCCATGGTAGAGTGCTTGCCTCGCATCTATGTGGACTTGAGTTCGATTCCTCAGAACCACATAAACAGAAAAAGCCGGAAGTGGTGCTGTGGCTGAAGTGGTACAGCGCCAGTGTTGAGCTGAAGAGCTAAGGGACAGTGCCCAGACCAACCAAAAAAAAAAAAGGAAAAAGAAAAAGGAAATGGGGGCTGGGAAGGTGGCTCAGTGGTAGAGCGCTAGCCTTGAGCTGAAGAGCTGAGGGACAGCGCCCAGGCCCAGAGTTCAGGCCCCATGACTGGGCCCCCCAAAAAAAAATGTTTAAAGGAATAGAATAAGCAAGATTAGGCAAATGTTAACCTTATGACTTGAAGACAGCGTTATTAGAATCAATACGACTCAATAAACACTCAATACACAAGGAAAATATAGCTGTTCTAACCTAGTATTTTTAAAAACTAAATAAAACAGGGTGGTTCACAATTGTAATCCTAGCTAATCAGAAGACTTCTTCAATTAGCTAACAAAAAACTGGAAGGAGAGCTGAAGTTGAAGTGTAGTGTGCTAGTCTTGAATGACCAAGCCAAGGGACAGTGCCTAGGCCCTGAGTTCAAGACCTAGTACCAACACACACACACACACACACTATTAGAGACCAGTAGTTCATACAAGAAAAACAAGACCATAAATATGACAAATCTTAGAAGCATATACAATTTAGGCTTGATTAAGCATGCACCATATTGAATCCACACTAGTGAGCAACAAAAGAGTAAGGAAAAGTGGGGTGTCATTAGACACCTTTCCTTGCTTAGTCAACATGTTAGAATTCACACAGGGGTGAAGACTTGTGAGTGTAGAGTCTGTGAGAAAGCCTGTAGCCGGATCATTGGACTCTCCAGCCTCTTGAGAACTCATGCTAGAGGAAAACCTTTTTATGCAAAGACTGGGGGAAAATACTTTCCAGATTAGACACTTTAGGAAGCATGAGATTATTCCTACTTTTGTGAAACCTTGTATTTGTAATGCATTCAGTAAAACCTTCAGCCATACTACATGTCTAACTCAATACCAGAGAACTCATACTGGGAAAAGAACATAGAAGTGTGAGGAATGTGGGAAAACCTTTAATCAGAGAATACACCTTTCTAACCATCAAAGAGTACACTGGAATGAAACCATATGAGTGCAGCCATGGTGGGAAACCTTTAAACACAATTCACCCTTTACTAAACTTCAGAGGATTCATACTGGATAGGAAAAAAACCGTGATAATGATGAGTGTGGGAAAGCCTTCAGACGCAGTTCATCACTTACTAGACACTGCAAAACATATGGTCAGGGTTGGGGAGTTGGCTCAGTGGTAGAGTGCTTGCATCGCATGCATGAGGCCCTGGGTTTGATTCCTCAGCACCATATACG